GCCAAAACATCTGGACAGCCCCAAGTTTCCCACCCTAGATACAGAGCATTTAACTTTGAGCTAAGAGAGTTACATGCAGGTCACAAGGTATCTACTGTGCAGAACTTCATTCTGGGCCTTGCCTCCTGCAGCTTATTAAGAGCAATAGTTCCTTGTGGTGGAGATTCATTTTGAATGCTGGGTTACATCACAAGGGTGCCAGCTGCAATTCAATTTATGTATGTATGTATGTATGTATGTATTTATTTTTCGATTTATATCCTGCCTTTTTTCTCTAAGGGCTCAAGGCAGCTTACATCATTCTCCTCCTCCATCTTATCCCCACAAGAGCAACCCTGTGAGGTAGGTTGGGCTGAGAGTCTGTGGCTGGCCCAAAGTCACCCAGTTGGCTCCATGACCGAGCGGGGACTAGAACCCAGATCGTCTGAGTCCCAGTCCCATGCTCTTCACCACTACACCACAATGGCACCACAATTTATAGCTTTGATTGGAAGAACAATGATTATTAGTACAGGAAGCTGCCTATCAAAAAAGCTGCACGGCCTAGGCATACAGACATCTAGAGATAGGAAGCATTTGCGGACCTGCTGGAGAGTGATGCTGCTCGCTCCCAGGCAACGTTTCCCTTTCTTTCTCCTATCCTGAGTCATGGCCAATATGTACCACAGCTGAGTCTTCATTAGGAACCCTTTTGCACAGTCTCTTCTGTGGATCCTGAAACAGTATAACAAATAGTGCTGGCCTGCAAAATAAAAAATAAAAAAAAATCAGCAGTCAGTCTACAAAAGGACATTGAAGAACTGCAGCAGGAGGAAAATGTAAAAATCACAAGATTAGTTGAACAATGCCCTCTTGTGGCCTGAGACAGTCATTGCTTGCTACTTTCCCCTCAAAGGGCAAGCAAGCAATCAAGTGAATCCAGGGCTCACTTGAGGCTTTTACGGTGACATTGACCCATATTATTACAGAAAGTCCAGATGATTCTGCCGATTTCCACCTACAGCCCTGCTGTATTTTCCCAAATCTTCTTTCATCTTTTTTCTTTCTTTCTGTAAAAAGTCCACTACTGGGGAAAGACAGGCTGCAAGCCATTTGGTCCAGACTCCAGAGAACCTCTAGAAGTCCATAATGGCTGGTACATAATATTGATTACCCATACCTTTTCACAATTATTATGTCATTATGGGTGCGAGAATCTGCCATTGGCCCTTTTCATTTTAAAGCAAAGATTAGCTATGATATATTATGCACCAGAATTTGATCAATTCAAATAAGAGGTTCTGAAGACCTTCTGGAATGAATGGTGGAAGTCAAGTACATTTATAAAAACATGGCTTCTTTCTTGTTCCTGAGATTCATAATCCTCTGTGAAGAACCCCTTTCTTTCATTTGGTAAGCCCTAGAGGGATTGTCCTTGTCTTGTACTAACCAAACTGCATGGATCTACAGGCACTGCAATTGTGTGCTTCCCTAGACAGTGAGTCTTCAGTTTCCCTTTGATGGTCACTGAAAATAACGAAATAACTAAGATTTTTTTTTTCAAATCACTGAAATTCACCAGGAAAGCTGCAAGAGAGAACTTTTTCACACTGTTCATATTTACAGGAGGGTGTTGTTTATTCTTGTGTCCTGCTTATGGGTTTCTCATGGACATCTGCTTGGTTGCTATGGGATCAGACTGTTAGACAAAGTGGCCTTTTGACCTGATCTAGCAGAACTCTTCTTATGCTCTTACCTTCACATGCATCCATCTTTCTATGTAGGCAAAGTGATTGTTCAGAGTAAAACTCTCTGGGAAAAAAGTCAGGTTGAGGAATCCTAGGAAGTCATATATGCATATATATTTGCATCTTGAGAGTCCAGTGTGAAGCAAGAGAATGTTGTGCCAAAGTCCAATCATCCCTTTCCTTTCAATAGCTCTTTCTAGAGCCAGATCATTCTGGGTATATCAATTTCCAGATAAGTAAGTTTCCAATGTCATCTGGAAAAGAAAGCGCCCTTTCCAGGCCACCCACACTTCCAGAACCAGGGGCAAAGGTGAAGGATGTTGCCAAGCCCTGGACTGCAACATCTATAAGAAATAGCAACCTGACCCAACTTACCTCACAGGGTTGTTGTATGAGAGGAAGAGGAGGAGGAAAATGATGTAAACTGCTTTGAGTTTCTTGAAAGGAAAAAAGGTGGGATATAATATAATAAACAAATAGACCATGTTGCTACTTCTCCCATCTGCAGAGCAGTTGGAGGCAATGGTGGCGGGGGGCGGGGGGGTTCCTGGGGAATAGGAGAATCCAGCATGTCACCATGGAAGTTCCCTGTCCACATAACATGCGGCAATGTTGTGTCCCTCCCCCCTCCTGCCCATTACAAATGAACAGCAAAGTTTTGCACACAGATACTCTGAAGTAAATTCCACTTTGTTCCATGAGGCCTAGTGTCTCATGCTATGAATTGCAGCCCAGAGGAAGAGAGTCTTGAGAATGAAGAGAATACAGAGATGCTAGTGAAGAATGAAGGGGGATGAGCATCCAGACAGCATATTGTTGTAAGCCGCCCCGAGGCTTCGGCGAATGGGGCGGCATAAAAATGTTTTAATAAATAAATAAATAAAATATCTGAACATCTGAACATCCCTCAAGCAAAGAAAAATAGCAGTGGCATGGTTTATGAGATTTCGGTTTTTTGAGCTAGACATAAGCATGGCTAAAAGAAGCTCCAGTGGCGCAGGGCTCTGCTGGCCTAGAGAGAAGCATTTTGGTATCAGTCTGTAAGGCGCAGAAACCCAGGAAAGGGGGGAGAGGGAGGAAATGCTGGCAAATGACCAAGGCGATGGGAAAGAGCTGCTCCTGTCCCCAGGCTTGAAGAGGCGGGCACAGAGAAGATAAAAGCAGGCGCTGAGGAGCTGCAAGTGCTTTTGATTCTCCTCCCGGTTGGACGCTGACTGTGGCAACCGATGGGCGGACTGGTTTTACTCTTGACTTGATTTATCCATTTCATTTGTCCAGCACTCGGCAGCTGAAGCTCTCGGGACGGTTCACAGCAGTTCAGGGCCGTGGTGCTCCGCTGGCTGCCCTCGCCATGCTGGCTGCAAGTGGGGCATGCCTTCGCCTCAGGGCTGGGTGGCTCCTGGCCGAAGGGCAGCAGCTCTGTGCTCCTCTGCGCCGGCCCCTCGCACCCGGCATGCCAGGCTCCGGGGCACGGACCTGCACAGGCCCCAACAGAGCAGCCGGAGTGGTGGGCTCAGGTGAGTGGCTGGAGGGGGCTCGGAGTCTCCGCAGAGGAAGAGCGGGGGCCCTTTAGCATGGCCCAGGGAAGCTTCAGGACCACCCGTCAGTCCTCTCTTTCGCCCTTGCCCCTTAGCTGAAGGCACCCCCCACCCTGTGGCTCATGACGGAGCAGTGCTGTGCACATCAGGGGAGCTGCACTGCAGCCCAGCCTGTTCGTGAACCGTCCCGCCTTTCTGCTCGTTTCCAAAGAGAAATGAGCGTTCCGATCTAGAATGAACATCGAGCGATCTTGGCTGCGTTGTTTTGGTTGCTCGCTGTTTTATTGCACCCAGTGCTCGCCTAACTTAAGTCCCATTCATTTTAATGGGTCTAATCTAAATAGGGTTAAGTAGGGCTAAGAAGACAACCTTGTGTCTTCTTGTACCACATCAGATGATCACGAATTGGTCAGGATACTGTTCTTACTGTATTTAATTTTGGTTACCTAAGGCACAATCCTATGTGTGTTTATACAGAAAATAGGCCTACAACTCAGTGTTTCTCAGCTAGCACAGCTTTTTTGGTCTAAATCCTGTGTAGGATCCTGCCTTAAGTTACACACTATCATGAATCACAGTTAAAGCCAATAATTTATTAAGCCATGACAAGCAATAACAGAAATGAAAAGGAAGGGTTATTGTAATTTACATTAAAACATACACATTAAGTTTTGGAAAGGAAGTTTACTGTGTTGTACAAAACTTACCCTGATGCTGGGAACAATTGAAGGCAAAAGGAGAAGGGGAAGTCAGAGGTTGAGGTGGTTGGAGGGGTCACTAGAGAGGTAGGTGTAGGCTTGGGTGGACTCCGGGGGATGGTGGAGGACAGGAGACCCTGGAGGAATGTTGTCCATGGGGTCGTGATGGGTCAGGCATGACTCTGTGACTGAACAACAAAACTATCAGGAAAAAAGAAGGATCTAATAATTGAATTATGCCTTTGTTGCTAAACTCTTTGTCCGCTGTTGAATTAGAGAAAATCCAGTGTTCTAAGTGCAGTATGAATATAATGCCAAAGCAGGCACAGCTAAATGGGAACAATAAGATGGGGACTGCATCTGCTAGATTGGCCTAAATATGATCTCAGTTGCATCCCTTAAATTCAGGGACTGAAGATGCTGGCTGCTAAGCTGCCCTGATATTTTTTTCCAAATATGTAAAATGGGCCATGGCTCTCTCTGAAGTTTGAGCCTTTGAAGCTTTGATGCTTCTGGTAGTTATCAAGTTTGCCTCCATGGTTACACCAACCTTGGGAAAAGTATTGTATCCCAATGAATCCTTATGTGGAATTTAAAAATAATGGCAGTACAATGCCTAAGTGCCACGTGAAATTTGGGCTAACACTTGCTTCTCTGAAGCTATGGGGCATGGGCTTATCCGTATGCATGCATGTGTGGGTTACCTTTTATCTGGTGGCAAAGCAGAAACAGAACACAAATATTTGTGTTTGTTACCAACAGACCATAATAGATATGTGTATTTCTTCCTGTGTTCGTATTCAAAAGGTTTCTCATTTGAAAATGTATATGGGGACCCCTCAGGGCACATGGCTCTTTTCATTTTAATAAGATGTGAATAAATATGTTGAGAGAGCCAATCAGAACTTAAGGCATGGCCCTAAGCACACTTCAACAGGAAAAAGAGCAATTCCCAGGATTCCCTCAATCAATTGCTTTTATAGCAGGTTAAAGGACATGGAATCAAGATCCAGCGAATGACTCTGTACTGCAGGAATAACTGCTTGGATGGAAATGGAAGGAACTGTGTCATCTGACCCAGTTCTGCCCTTGTGCAAGACAAGGACCAGAAACGAGTAAAATCACTTTAATTATTACAAAATAAAAACAACAAATGATATTAAAATAATACACATCATCAAAATCAATGGCATTATTGTATTCTCCTATAATGTTGTTATAGTGCTATACTTCTCATTTATGAAAAGGGAGGCATCTTGCTATAACATAATAAAATAATTATGCTAATTTTTTTAAAAAATATACTTTTCAGCGAAAGGAGATATTTAATTTCGTATGCATGTGCAAGCCCAAGAAGCCATTACGTGCATCTGCAAGTGTCATGGGCAAGCCAGAATATAATGGCCAACATATCTAAATGTGTAATGACAGATAGAAATGAAAGTGGTGGGGACAAGATTAACCTTTCTTTGGAAAACAAAGCCTGACTATGCTGCAATATTTCTGCCCTTCCCCTTTCCTCCATGCCGTGTTTATACAAATGGATGTGATGTTGGCCCACTGGATCCTTAAGTTGAGAAGATATCTAAAGTGCCTGCTGATTACAAACCCTCAGCATTTGACAAGAAAGTCCTTCTGTGGACTGGGCGCTTCAGGACAGAAGATGACATCCCTCCAAGGATCCCGTAAGCTCTTCATTTTATCCAGTCAGTTGAACTGGGTGGCCCGAGGCGATGTCCCTGGGCCCAGCATCTCCACTGGTGCTCTCCACGCTTTCTCCCCCTCATTATTTTGTTGAATAATGTTTCAGTAGACAAATAAGAGCTTTTTTGCAATAACTATTTTATGACTTTGCTTCCCCCAGGGTTATGTGTGCCTGAGAGGCATTCTTAGCAAATAAAGAGAGGCAGGTCCTACAGGCCAGCCATGCAAGGGAGCAAAAGCATGGCTGAAGATCACAGGGACTTTCCTGGAGACCCAGAGTAGCATCTTGGCGAGGGAGGGTGGTTGAGGGAAGGACGGGAGGCAAAGGGGCCTTTCCCTGTGGGTGCATGTTTGCGGTGTGTGTGAGACAAATGACTTGCTTGCTTTGCTTGCGTGCTCTGAGTTTTGTCTCTGTGTGCATGTGTCTCTGCGTCACCAGTTTGGCTTCCATGTTTGTAACTGGATATATTTTGTATTTGTGGCAGCAAATATATGAGTTGTCATTAGGGGCCCGGACTCACCTCTGCCTCATACTCAGCTTCTTGGCCAGGTTTCTCTGTGCCTCAGCAGGTTGGCTTGTATGACAGAGTGTTGCAGCAGAAAACAGTAAGTCCAGGAGAGTGATTTTGTATTTTGGACCTCTCACCACACCTCTGTCACCTGCTGCTCACCCTCAAACCCGGGAAAGCTGCTATTTTCCCCAAATGGAGGAAGCACACAGCTGCACCTGCAACCACATCCAGCTGGGACAAAACAGTAGTCCTAACTGCATGCCCCAGCTAGAGGACTGCATCTCAGAGGATGGCCTGTGGCCTCTGTTAACTGTGGACATCCAGAGGTCCAGGAGAAGCTTGGGCTTCAGCAGAGACTGATGAAAGAAGGGAGCTCCACTTCAGACACAGTGGTGGAACAACTCCTGATCCTGTGGGACTGGCGACCCTTGAAGAGACAGGCTAGAGTCTTCACTCAGGGGGAGTGGGCAATTGCATTAATGGCCTTTTCAGGAGTCAAGGGCTTCTTGTGTGTAGAGGTATTCCTTGGGAAGAAGACCTCTTGTGGAAGTCTCCATAAGCCATAGCTTGCGTGGGCTTCCGCAGCCCCTGCTGGGAAACCTCTGCCTCAGGCTGGGAGAGTTGCTGGAGCCATATCCCATTCCCAGCTGTACAGGCAGGCTGCCTCCTCTTGCTCACTTCCCTCTGATGGAACTGCTGGCCATAATCTTGTACTGTTTTTGGCTGCTCCTCAACCTGAGCCACAGTCCGTCATGGTGCTCTGAGCACGACTCTGGCCTTGACCTCACTGCTTACCTGCTCCTTAACTATGCTGGACTTTGAGACTTTCAGCACAGCCATCATACTTAGTTTGGCCAGTTTGGGCGAAAAAAATCATTTGTTATGCTTGGTTGATGGCGCCATCTTGTTTCTTTCATTCGGCTGGCATCAGTGCAATCACCTCTGTGTTGACTTATGACTGGTTTTGTTGGCATTAGTCTCGGACAGCAAAAGGTATCAAACAGATAATTGGGCTCTGAATGGCAAGAAGTGTTCTAAGATGAACCTTGGAATCACAACATCATTGATCAAAGTTGCTTGCTGGCTTTCAGCATTTGGTCACACTTAGTTTCCATCATGTGTCCATTTTAATTTTAAAGAAAATCAAGTTATAGCTGATGTGTTGATGCATATATTAAACCATGCTGCTTGTGGAAATCTAAAATGAAAATGTGATCAAAAGTCAGTAGTATCAGTATTTGTTTATAAGTTGCATCAACAATTTGATTGCATCAGCTGCATATTAGATGTGAAAGCTCATATCCTGGTTAACAACAACAAAAAGGCCGTCAAGAAGGAATGTGTGTGGGAAAAATAGCTAACAGGACATGCTTCCTTCTTTTTTTTTTCTTTTTACTTGACAGCTTTTAAAACTGACAAACACTTACATGAAAGCTGGATGGGGTTACATAAATAAATGATGTTGGAATGGTTTTCCAAGCCTGCACATTTAAATAACCTCGACCAATGACCAGGCTCAAAGGCTGCCGCTACACCCAATACACTCCCTCGAGCAATGACCAGGCTCAAAGGCTGCTGCTACACCCAAGGCTGTGAAGAAGAGAGAAAAAGGGAGACCTGTTTCTAAGTCCTAACAATGAAGAAAAACCCAGCAAAAGGGAGCTGGGAGGAAAGGAGAGGAAGTCTGAAATAGGCCAGGCCCAGGACACAGAGCTTGTGCACCAGCCTTCACTAACCCGATCCCCTCCAGATGTGTTGGGACTACAACTCCCAGGCTAAGGGATGCTGGGTGCTATAGTCCAACACACCTGGAAGGCACCAGGTTGGGAAAGCTGCTACAGATCTGCAACCAGATTTATAGTATTCTCTGAACAGTGGTTTTTCAGTGCTGGAGAGATCCCGTTTGATTTTAACTTTTCATTTGGACTGCCTTGAGCAACCTCATCTTGGAAATCCTTCTGGAGTCTTGAGACTGGGAGCTCCTGCACTTTGTAAAATTACAGGGAATTACAATAAGGTCTGTTTTCCTGCTTGTTTTGGGCCTCTGGTAAAGGAACCACTATGATTAGTGTTTTTGAAATACAATTAGTTAATTTACCCAAACAACTGTGCTTGTTCTCTTGCTGCATGTCACTTGGATATTAATTGGTTTACTGTGCTTGCCTGGTTTTGTTCATTTTATAAAATGCATTTAGTCCCAGTAGAATGAAATCCAGTTGCCCTCAGATTACCTACTATTTCCCTATCAGAAGCAGCAAGGAACTTTAAATCTTTGCTCTCAGCATTTAAGCCTGATTTTGCAGGTTTGGCTTGTCAGACATCACAAAATTCACCAGTATTTGGTAGTCCTAAAACTGCATTTGGAATGGAATAGACACTACTATCTATTCATAGTCCTGCATGTTCAGTTTGCTTCAGGGACATACAACACAGGACAAAAGTTTGAAGCAATTCTTTACTCAAAAGTAAGTTTTGATTAATTCAATAGAATTCATCCCTAGATCTGAGTATTGCTACAGTTAACCAGCCAAATCCTGCACATATAAAATGCATTTAGTCCCAGTAGAATGAAATCCAGTTGCCCTCAGATTACCTACTATTTCCCTATCAGAAGCAGCAAGGAACTTTAAATCTTTGCTCTCAGCATTTAAGCCTGATTTTGCAGGTTTGGCTTGTCAGACATCACAAAATTCACCAGTATTTGGTAGTCCTAAAACTGCATTTGGAATGGAATAGACACTACTATCTATTCATAGTCCTGCATGTTCAGTTTGCTTCAGGGACATACAACACAGGACAAAAGTTTGAAGCAATTCTTTACTCAAAAGTAAGTTTTGATTAATTCAATAGAATTCATCCCTAGATCTGAGTATTGCTACAGTTAACCAGCCAAATCCTGCACATATTTCCTTGCAAATTCTCCTATGCTAAATGGGACTAATCTCCCAAGTGATCCTTATTTTGCATGGCAGCCTTTGATCAAAGGTGGAACACACATTTTCATCAGATATTGCTTGTATGTTTTTGGCTTTTTCTACAAATTTCTAAAGACCAGAGATATATCTCATATATTCTGAAAGAAACTATGTAGAAAGCAGCAGATTTATCCACTGAAGATAAGTGCTGCCTTTGGGCTTGTATCCATTGTAGAATAAATTGAACATAATTTCAGTTCTAAACAGGCTCTTAATTCTGAGGTCTTAAAAAGGCTATTTTTGTTTACCTCATAAAGCTTTGTTAGATGTTGAGAACAGATAGCCATGTTAATCTAGGACAGCAAAAGCAACAAAAGAGTTTTGCTAGGCATCACAAGCCTTTTGCTTGCCTAAGTGCTAACAATAAAATCGATTATTCACTTCAAAGCCAGTCGACTGGATAAAAAGGTTTTAATATGCTAGTTCCAGAGTTAATGATGGCTTTTGAAACTTGCAGGCAAAAATCTGTTTACCCAACTTATACTTCTATTGTACATGTCAAACTTAACATGTTCACATGGACAAGTTATGAAACAAATTACAAATAAAAGTTAACATCCTAAGCAGAAATATTTTGTTTCTGCTGCAACCAAGTACACATACATCAGTGGGAATCATTTTAAGATTGCTGAACTGGGACCCTAATGGTGTCCACCCCAATGTCTGTTCCAGGCGAGAGATGCTAGATGCTGCAAGGAACAAAGCTCGAATAAAGGTCTGTTACATCATGATTGGCCTCACAATTGTGGCTTGCTTTGCAGTAATTGCCTCAGCTAAAAGGGTAAGTACTGTCCCATGGCAAATTGCGTGATTTTCAGGATTCCTTTTTAAAAGAACAGTTCTTAGGCTTCTAGTCTAGCAGAATACCCAGCCCTACCAGCATCGTAGGGAAGAGAAGAACTTCTCTATTTCTCATGTCTTGTTCAAGATGAGAGCAGGCTTAAGGTGAGGACCTCCTGCAGACTGATCGTGGCCCATGGGTCTCCCATCCCTGTTGCTTAGCAGGTTTGCTTCCGGTTTACTATTATGCCCAAATGTTTAGGATGGAGTCCCACCAGCTTGAAGTTCTAAGCCACTGCATTATAGGAGAGGGCTTGTCAGCACTGCAAGGCCAGTAATGCAATCCAAAAAATGGGTAGAGCGGGGCACAAGCAGCACAGGCTTAAACTAAAGGCATCATGACCACCACCTAGTCAACAAGAGCCCATATCATCTTTGTGGCATCATTTATTTTATTTATTAAAACATTTATATGCCGCCCCATTCGCCAAAGCCTCGGGGCGGCTTACAACATAATAAAAATTACAATAATAACAATTATTGTAATTAATAATTGTGATTCAAATATTAGAAATGTTAGGGCTTAACGAAACCTGAGCCTTGTTACTGCTAATGCTGTTAGTAAAGTATCAGAAAGCTACCTAACATGGATACACTTAACTTTTTCCAAGGACTTTTTCCAAGTAGCCCAAAAACATTCCAAAGGCACTCCACCAGGTTGATCCATGTCCCACTTCCTTCCCCTATAATCATTTCTCTGTCCAGCATGGTGAAGCCATTGCCTCAGGTCCCAGTTGGTGCAAAGGACAGCATGAGCACCGCCCCCCCCCCCCCCCCCCCCTGTGTTTGCCTTGACTGGCAGACCTCCGCAGCAATAAAAGGGGCCTGTGGGACCTGCAACAAAACACTGCAGTATGAAGCATGGCTTTTGTGCAGTTGCACCCCCGCCTCCATTCCACAAGGCTGAAATGTTTGCAGTGTCTCTTCAGGCTTTGTTACTGGCCGGAAGAACCTCAAGCTACAATATGCTGCCGCTCTGGATTTTTGCCCCATCCATTTTCCACCAGCCCCTCACACCATGGGAATGCAGTCCCTTCTCTTGGAACTGCATTTGGCCCTTGGGCTGAAAGTGGCTCCCCTCTCCTGCTCCATCCTCACAATGTCCTTGTGTTAAGTGGCTCGGGCTGAGCTTTGTAGCAATCTGGACACAGAACTTGAACGTGCTGGCATTTGTGTAGTTGCATAAATGGGACAGAGATGCCCCACTTGGCCTGTCTTTCAATTGCTAGTTTTGAAATCACACTATGTTGCTTACTGGGGAAATGCTGTTCCTTTGCAGGCTGCTGCCCGCCATGAATCGCTTACAAGCTTGAATCTAGCAAAGAAAGCCAAGTGGCGTGAAGAAGCTGCAACAGCTGTAAAGTCAAAGTCTAAATAGAGGTGTGATGGGAAGGGTAAAGAAGCACTTTGGTTGACGCAAACTAATTCTCTGGGAAAAATTCTGAAGAAGGATGTGACTTACTAACAATCTTTATTTGCAGTTATGTAACAAATATTGGGTGAAAGATTATCTATTTCAATGTTATAATTATCTAAGAAACTGTATCAAGATCTGTTGCAAGTTTGTCCTGAAAGGTTTCATCCAACATCTGCTTCAGTTTGACTAAACAATAATTGTTTGTGAACACAAAACTCCAGCTACCATAGCATTCAGTTTTCTGGTTGGAATTTACTAACAGTTTTCCAGCAAACTTTGCCTCAATGAATTATTATTAAATATCAATGTTGCTCTGAATTTTTTCTTATAACCTTGCATCTTACCAAGGATGAAGAGTTTTTTTCCTTAAATAAAAAGCAGAAACTGGATTTTCTCCCACAATTCATATATAAACTTGTAACTTGTAAGTGGGGGGGAAGTTAACGGAAAAAGAATGTTGTGAGCTTTTCAAGGTCCTCATCAATTTGATTGGTAGCATAAAGTATCAACAATGCTAGTAGATTGATTTCAGCAAAAAAATCAGTGATTCATACTACTGAGATTATACTGCTATCAAATTATTGTAGTGAGCAATTGTAGTGCAGGTAATTCACTTCCAGTGCTAAAAACTTATTTCATGTGTATGCTGTATACATATAAAGGCTGGCATAATGCTGAAAAAGCATATCTGAACTAGCCCAGATAGAACTAGGAATCTTAACTGTTCAGATCTGTTCAGAAGTCATTTTGCTTAGGATTGTAAGTCTGGTGAAATATCACACTTCATGTGCACACAACATACGTTCCCGCAGATATTTACAGCACAAGCTAGGAATATCCTATTGATAATGACATTTTCACAGGCATGCACATGACAATAAAAAGGCCCTTTCATGTTCTTACTCAAAGGACTTCCTCTCTCCTACAGCAATTGGTCCCCACTGAAGTATGTATAAGCCAGTGAAATATAAATTGATTTTTATTTACTGAGAACTGTGAATTGGAGCCATAACTCTTGTACAGAGTTCCTTTAATCTTTATCTATATCTATCGAGAGAGAGAGAGAGAGAGAGAGAGAGAGAGAGAGAGAGAGAGAGAGAGCGCGCGCGCGCGCGCGAGAGCGCATTGTGTTTTCTTCATTTGTGGGATAGGATTGAAATATACAAAGGATTTTTCAACAAATACTCATATTTATTGCAACATTGCTTGATTAGTTAGTTTACAATTTTTGTTGGCAGATAGGGCCTATATAAAACTTCCTCTTTTAAACATTCTTTAAAATGTATAGTTTTTACCAGTGTTGCATTGGCCTATTTTTCAACCAGAAAACTGCCATTCCTGAGAAGAATTGACCATATTAGGGAGAGTAGATTAAAACTGTAATTTTATGCACATCTACCTGGGACTGAGGACTGATAAACGTGGTTGAGCTTATTTCTGAGTAAGCAAGCACTGGACTGGACTCTTAATCTTCCATTAACAATTCCCAAAATGGTATATGTATAACCTTCCAAAAAACACTACTTTTGAAATACTGTTGGCAATGATTTCAGAAGACACATCCTGGTTTTTGTAAAATACCTTTATTAGTTTTGTATTGTTGTTGTATAGTAGTAACATTCCTTAATATTGCATACTGTTCATATTTGTAGGTTTGTTCAGTTAGAGCCTCCAGTTTGTGTTTGCAGCTGCAGTGATTTACAAATGATCACTGGAAAACACAGTAACAAGATTGACTAAGAAAATTGTTACAGATCTCAATCTTTCTAGTTTTATAATATGCATTTTAATAATCCAAATAAATCTGAAAATTTAAAATACCAAAAAGGTAAATAAGGCTTAAGCAAATAAATCCAACTGAGATAATGTGCTAAAATGGCAATTTTAGGATGGAATCCTCAAAATTTTAAGGGTGGAATCCTGCAAATCCTAGCTTGCTCCAGCCAGCGTGGCTGGCTGGCACATGCTGGGTATTGGACACCTTTTTCTGTCTAAACATGCATACAGTTGCACCCAATAATAGCTTTCTAAATGCAAACCTGTTTGAATGAAAACCCAGTTATATTTTTGTATCTGAAATACATAGTTGGCATGGTTGCATAGATTAAAAATTCATGTCAAATTCAGGCAATTCCATGAGAGTCTCAGAACATGTACTGAGAAAACACTGAAATGTTTTATTGAAAATATTCTGAAGGCTTTCTCAAACCATATACAACCTAGTATTGGTTACCTTGTTCTAGAACCCTGTAAGATACTGCAGAGGCTGTTCATACCAGTTCTGTTAAAAGGGTAATACCTGGAACCTCAGCATATAAGAATTCAATGGTAAGCTAAGACTACTATTTAAAGTTCAAAACAGACCACATTAGACCCTCAGCAATATGAGAGGCATTCTGAAGTGTTTATATTCATGATATATACTAGAGAAAGATATCCTTTCAAAACAATTAGATGCATTTAAAATTTGTTTACTTCTGATGTTTTTAATTTCTTCTACAATTTGTATATATTTTTAGATCTGGTTCAGATGAAAACATTGAGAAGACAGCATCTACTGGTTTCTCAAAATAGGAGCAGGCACAACTGGCAAAATTTTGATACACCAAAACAATGGAATACCCTGTTAACCCTGTTTGCTTACATAAGAGTAATTCTGATCAATTTGGTTTTCACTAACCATTTTCATTAACCTGTATTTGGAATGAATGATGCAGAACCCATAAACGCCAATGTTCCAAACTAAAAATGTTAATGAGGGGACAAATTCACTCTTAACATTAGACACTGTCTGCTCAAAGCTACAAAATTCAGAGTTAAATGCACTATTATACCCACTTTTTACCTTACCTCCCAGCAAGTATTCAACTGACACTTATACACCACTATTTATATATATATATATATACACACACACACACACACACGCGCGCGCGCGCACACACACATATATACCACTATTAGTGGGGTGTGTATATATATATATACACAATTTATAAATTGCAGTTGACTGTTCATTTTAGAGCATCTTCAAAGGCAAATGTGAACTCCATGGATTGTATAGTTTTAGTTCTACTTATAGGGATTCTCCATTGAAATTAATGGGACTTACATTAGATCAATATCTAATACAATCCCATAATCCAAGTAAATATTGCTATTACATTGCCTCTGAAGACTATGAAGACTGAAGACTATGGCTGCACCACAGAGATACAGGAACAAAGCAGAAGGCTGTGTATTAATTTTTACTTCTAGTTCTCGTAACTTAGACAGAAGAAGAGACTTCCGTGTTTCCTCTGGTATGTAGGAAGCACTTAAATTTGGGCACCCTACTTGCTCCTGACCTGTGTAACACCTGATAAGTGGTTTTGTTCAGAAATCCCCCATGGTAATGCTCTGACAATGAACAAAAAGGGGCTTTCTGTCAACAGCTATGCATTATGTACAGGCAGAGTGGCAGCTATAGCTTTTTTTTTCTTTTTGCCATATAATAACCTCTCTGTAGCTTTCTTATGACATGTCCCCGCATAGATCATAAATGGGAAATGAGGCTGAAAGAACCATGTTTCAACTTGCAAATTTGAATCTGTTGGCAGGTAGATTTTGGAGTGCATCAATTTTTAAAGTTATACAACACTATGAAAAAAGGCAATCAACTGCAATTATATACAACTTTGAAAAAGTCGCATAGGTCAGGACATTTCTGATATGCAAAATTATTCAGAGTACTTTAATTGTGCTATACAGGAAAAAAAAACTTAAGATGGATTTAAATTCTACAACAAAATTGGCTCCAGGTTCTCATTTTAGTGTTTTTTAAACTACCTGGCATCATACAGTGTTAAGCATTTTTCATACTTTATCAGAAATGTCCATGTTCAAGAAACTACTAGTATTTACATAAAGACAATTTTCCTTCAATCAGCAAGAAAATGTACTTTTCTAATGCAGCATTAGTATTAAGTTGTAACAAACAGTTTTGGTGGCCTGTTTAAAATAAAGTGTTTTTCAATGGACAAATCTTACAAAAAGAAAGCAAATGATATGTATTAGTATATTTGGTCAAGCAATATATTAACTGTGTGTAAATAAAACATGTAGTCAGTTTTTCAAGAAAAGGGAATATTGTGGCTTCACACACTTTGGTAGCATTTAAGTTAAACATGAAGATTTCTATTCACATTTCCTAGAAAGCAACTATAGAAACCTTCCCTTGCCCTTGCAAAAATCTAGTACTTAGTAGGTAATTATAAATACCTTGCCCCCACCTCAGTTTATCATCAGGTCTGTCAACTGAGCAGAAAATACAGCTTGGCCTGCTCTTGTGCTTTTAACAACAATTTGATGGGCTTAAACCAACAGATAAAAGCTTTTCACAGCACAGAAATGAACACTGTCTTGTCACACATCAACTTGCTGTTAAAGGTACAGCTTTTATGGCCAATTAAAAAAACCAGCAACTCTATTTTCAACACAACTGAAGAAATAAAAAGAAGGAGAGGGCACTTTGCTTACATGGATAGGCAGCAAGGCCAATGGAAAATACAAATCGGAACTAGCTACCATCTCTTTTTTCACAGAATTTTATTATTTTGCTATATTTTACTGTTATGTCATGTAACCAGCAGTGCATCCTAAAGTGTTTTTCTTTCAAATATAAATATATTTCACCAGTTTATCGCAAAGTATCACACATAAAACTATATTTTCACTATTTCAATAAATAAATTTTCACATTCTAAGTTTAGCTTTTACCAGGAGCTTTTATGTTACACTTTAATTTTGAAACAGCATTTTTGCTCCAATGTAAAGAGGTAGATTTAGTGTCAACTGGGCACATGACCCCTCCTGCTAAAATTCAAAATATCAACAGCTGCTTATGCATAGTGATGCATTTTTACCAACTGCTTGAAAAACTTGGTATCAGTACCTGATGTACTACTGAGGTCATTGTTCAAGCTTCCTAAGATTGTTTAAGTGTGATTAAATCTGTATTTCTGGACAAGACAATGGAAATACACATATAAAAATAATGGAACATGTAAGTGCATGACCTGCTTCTTTGTCTTCAGCAAAATATTCTCAACTTTCCTGGTCTGGCCAGCAAGTGGAGGCCACCACAACGTACTACTGATTTGGCATTTGTCTGAATAGTTACAACTGGAATCCCTCCATTGGAGCTTCCTGTTGTTGAAACAGAAACTGCTGCTCGCTTTCATCCACTTGTGGTACAATATTTGCATCCTCCTCTTCCACACCAAAATAATGCTCAATAAGATCAAATGCTTTCTGATAGATTTCTTGGTTTTCATGACTTTGAAGTATTTCAATTTTATCTAGTCCTGAATTTGGAAGAGAACATATGCTATTTAAGATTAATAGACTTTACTGAATAGAAACAACTGTAACTTAATTAACTGACTTTAATACATAACAAACAACTACATGCACAGATAGTGTGAGACATCTGTCCAACCTATTGTATTCTTGCCACCTTGTCTTTCTTCACTGATTACAGCTGACAGATCAGCCTTAAGGTCTGGATCTAAGAAGACATCAAAACTTCCTTGTGAGATGGCAGACTGCCAGTCTCTTTGAAAGAGAAAGTGGTTCAGTCTCTCCTGTAGAAGCTGAGCCTGGATCAAGATATCTTAATTTTGGAACGGGGCTAATTTTCCATTTTTGGCCAAGGAGACTGAACAAGTGATTTTGGGCAACTTCAGGCATTTCTGAATGGTACCAATTAACTGGATCCATTTCAAATGGGTCCTTAATCATGGTTTTTGGGTGGAGACAACCTTGATCACCCTGTAGGATGACATTTGCTAGGAAAAAGATGGGGAAGTGTATCCTCAATGGATCAAGTTCTGTCACTTGAGGCTTAAGTAATTTCAGCTGCACAAAGTGTTTAGCACCTTTGGTTGAGATAGCAGCTACAGCCAGACAGAGATGGCCTGGCCAAAGATTTCTGTGCACAAGTTACCTCCCACCTGGATTATCGCAATATGTAGGTCTACCTCCAAAGACTGTTTATTGCACAATAGAGCACTGGGTTAGAAGCCACTGCTATATCAACTGTACTAATTACCAATGCCTTTGTGTAGAAATTATAATTTCCCTGCATTCTAGAAACAACAACAACATCAGGGATTTTCTAATAAGATTTCTGGCAAAAATGTAGAACTACACAAGGACAGAGCCCTGCCCTCCAGTATTGTGTATTTTTCCTGAGCAGTAAGCCCCACTCTGTTCGATGGGCCTTACTTCAATGATAAATGTGCATAATTATTGAAGCCCTATTTATAAACAAAAGGCAACAGACTTGTTCTCATTGAACTAGTAGGACCAACTACTTCTGTAACACAAACAAATGCTTCTTACAGTAATCCTGGAAAAACTAAGTAGAACTGGACCAGACAGTGGAGTTCACTCTGAAACTTTAGCTGACCTGCCCCATTTCAGATCTAGCTTTCTATTGTCCTCCTGGTACACAGATAGCATCTGGTACTGTCCAATGATCTGGACAGAGAAAAATTAATGTTTTAGTGGAAGCATGTATATACTAGTAACTTGATTGTACTATAAATACCACAATTTCTTACCATATGCTTCCTCTATGCGGGCACAGTAAGGATTAATTCCAATCCCATTTTGCTTAGATTCTTGCTCTCCATGTCGTAGAATGTTTTCAAGTCCATTCAAGGCCACCTGGACTATTTTAGAATCCATCACGGTCAGAAGATCACAGAGAGGCTTGGTACAACCCAATGCCACCAAGTAACTTTGGTATAGTAGGACAAAAGAAGAGAAAACAAAGGGGAAAATAAAAAGCCTTTTGTTAGTAAATTTGATCTTTGGTATTTGAGGATGCTTTCACAAGCAACAAATACAATTTGGTCTCCAATGGATTATTAAATCCATACATTTATTGTATAAATAGTGTACCACACAGAACAATAAACCAATGTTAATCTGAACAACATAACTCATGCACGTATCTAAATTTAATCTGAATTATCTGGTAAAATATCCAGATTCTCCCTTTCATGTGCCCAGGCTTGGCCATAAAGATGACTGATCACTCTTCATTTATTCTGCTGAAGAAATTATGTTTTCGCACAGTAGTTGGGGTGCAGGTGTCATTTCTACTAATGTGAGACCACTAATGGTTTGATATTGCCCAATGCGAGTCAGTATATTGCCAGATAGGAAAACACCATTTACTGTGTCACATTGCTTGAGAAAAAAACATGCTTTGCCAAATTATTGCTCCTAAAAATTTGAAGTAGGGCCCACATGTAAACACACGTTTGTCTCTTGTTTCTCTGGTGGCTGTTCACACTGATAGCGCTTCCCCTCCCTGGTCTTTCTCCACTGCCAGTTTGCCTCCTCATTCACTGCATGATCCTAGCCAATCAGTGATCTCTTAGTGAGGGGATGTCACACTGCTATGTTGCCATCATATAATGAGTTGTGTGGAGAAAAGCAGCTGGCCAGGCGACAAAGAAAGAAGTGCTAGGCTAATCTAAACATCCGAGAGGCATTTCCTGGTCTTCAGGTAAGCCACAGGGATGGCTTAGCCATCCTTTTTTCCTGTACATTATCACTGGGGACCACACTATGTAGCAATTCTTCTAGCAATTTGTTAGATTTTAAGGCATCTGGCAGCCAGCTGTTAGCTTTCAAGTGAAAAAGATGGAGAGACATCCCTACTCATCCACATGAAAGACCTATAATTTTGTCAGAAAGGCTTCAAAGGTTACAAATAACCCCCTGCATCTTTGCTGCAGAAGTCCAATGAAGGTGGAGTCATAGATACCTTGAATACGTACCACTCTCTTCTGGTGCTGCACTGTTGAAAGTAAGCAATGAATGTAGTGCAGAAAGAAAGCTAACACATCTATGTGTTGCCTAGGCAACCACGCAGGTCCTTTTTCCTGCAACATTTTGGCTTTGTTCCCTTCTTAGTACACTGACAAAAAAGAGAGTCACCTAGGCATCACTCTTACCCACACAATGGATTTGCCCTCTTTGCAAACCACCTCCAATGAAGTGCTAGAAGGGGAAGGACCTTTGGCAATCCTGCCACAACAAACAACCCCCACCACACACACAAAATTGGCAGAAGACTTTTGACTCAGCCATAAAAATATGCAGTTAAAAAATTATAATGTAGCATGCCTTATTCTGAAAAGCAAATCATGATTAACAGAAATATGTTAATAAATTGTGTTAATTGTGTGTGAATAAAGTGGGACCTTTTTCAATCCTTGGAAACATGGAAAATTGTTGACTGTGTATATTAGATAAGAACATTTTATCTAGGTAAGAAACAACCACAAAGATTTCTATAACCCCAGTTGTAAAATGAAATGAAACTAAAGTTAATATGTGTGGAAACAGGATTAACCCAAGACATTAACATATATGGGGGTGTAATAATCTTCCTTGTGTGACAGAAACCAGGCTCTGGCAAGTGAGACAAACTTGAAGCATCCTACAATCTTGGAATTAAAGGGGACAATGGGATGAAATCTTGAAATCTGCCTCTTCCAGAGCTCCACTGTTCAGCTGTAGGCTGGAATTTGTTTCAGCTCTGTGCTTGCCATAACAAGCTCCAGGAATGTAGCAAGATTCCACTCTGCATCTCCAGCCTGGAGGTGAAAGGCAGAGGTACATAAAACTATCCTACACACTTGATGTTTGCCAGGTGGAAGAGGCAATGCAAGGCAACACCTCCAGTGACCTCAGGAAGCATTTCAGAGATGCTGGCCCTTAGGAAGGAACTCCTGGTGACAAGTTTTGACTTGGTCAATAAGACCAGCAAAAACGTGTTGTGCTTAGCACATAAGAATATTTAAACACATATTTAAACACACAGAGTATTACCAGGTGAAGAACTGCAATGCTACACTGTGATAAAAAGAAAGCCCCGATATTTGAATTACCTTTCCACAGCCTTTTTTTATTTCTGGCTTTTGGGTTATTTCATCCCTAGCAGCTAGTTGTGCTGAACCTCAACGTGATTTGTATGTATTTTTCAGTTTTACAAACCCTAGTATATGCAAACTATTGTTTTTATGTCTATGCCTTGTGTATCTATAGGATTTTTATATTGCTGAGAACATTCCTTGAGAAGACCTGCTATTGGGTCACTCATGTCCTGCTACCTCTAGGCTGGGCTAGTGTAACTTTTTCTCTCTGGAATACAACAACAGGTCCCAAAACTCAATTGTCATTGCACTTGCTGCAGCCTGTCAGTCACAGCCTATAAATTAGATCCACTAGCAACTACATTGGCTATTTATTTCTAGGATCAATTTAAACCTGGGTTGACCGAGGTTTTTGTTTTCTAATGAAGATCATTCGTAAATATGGACGAATGCAAGTCCACCTGTCCATTATGAAGCATCTTTCCCTCTTGTAAATATCCTTGTCAGTTTCATCCTCGCCACCACTACTTGATTTGGACAGCAGTACCATACACCTTGTCAAAGAACATGTCAATTTCATTCTCCACCTTGAAAGTTGGGGAGGAATTGGCACATTCTTTGATGAGAAATGTGGGCTAAATGAAGCAGTCTGTGAAGAGGATGGAACTGACAACGATATTTATATGCCTCTCCTGGGCTACCTAGTAGACAGGTAAACTTGCATTTGTGTACACTTGTGAATGATCACCTGTAATTTTTCTAAAAAATGACAAGTGTCCAAATTTCAAGATCCCTCCCCAAATATGCACAAATTACAATTTGTACAAATGGTAGAATAAATAGGTGCATTTTCTTCCAAAATTGGAAGATCCACTACTATCCACTGCCACTTACCAGAATGAAAACACCACAGAATCCCACTGAGCTTTAAATTGAACAGAATTCCCAGCACTATGCATCTCTAAATAGAATTGATTTTTACATTTTAAGTAATTTTGATTGTATATATTTGAAAAAGTATCTAAATAATAAACTTGGAAATACACTTAGTAATTTTAAGCATTATGAATGCAGAAAAAATAATGGCATCATATGACTACTTAGCAAATTACACAGCTTATTTTAATATTGACATTGCTTCAAATCAAATGTAAATGATTACCTAATTTGTTCAGGAGTCCCTCCTGATGTTGCATTAGTGATGGCCCATGCTGCTTCCTTGATGGTCCGAAATTCAGCTTTCTGAAGAATTTCAATCAATACTGGAAATATGTTTGCATCTATAACAGCCTGTTTTGGGGTGGGGGAACATGTAGAACACTAAAGTATAACTTAAGTCAACCAGCAAGTGAATGTAATTGAAAAGACACAGTAACATAGTTTGCATGTTGCAACCCTAAACATGGGTTGTCAAATCCTGGATCACTGTTATGCAGAAACCAAACAAATACATAGATCCTGGCCACTCCACATACTAGTGCCACATTTGGGATACAGGCAAAGATTAGGTAAAGGAGGAGAAAATTAAACAACAACTGAAAAAAAATAACCTGTGCTTTGAGCTCTTATCTGGCAGAAAAATCATGATAAAGCATGAGTAAGGCAACAACACATATTTTTGATTATCATTACCTGTGAGTCAGGCCAGTGCTTAGTTTTATGGGAAAAGAAAACAATCTTATGTACTTTCCTTATTAAACATAAATTACCATTCAGCGAGGCTTTTGCTTACTTTTCCAAAAACAGAAGCAAGATCTTTAGAAACATTTCCTTTGATTACAAGGCAAAGGCAATTTACTTTTGCTTTACAAAAACAGGCAAATTGTACTTAGAAACTTCCATATAGACAAGCAGTGACACAGACTCTGCTGGCTGTCTGTGTCTGGACCAACAGACAACTGACTTTGAATTAAAAACTGGTCTTGAGCTGTACTAGGGGTTCGATTCTTTTCCACCAGATCCTGACCAGAGGCAAAGTAAAGGAAAAACAAGCCACAGCACTACTACACTGATCTTTGGTTTGAAAGTCTAGTGGAATTGATGCTTCTTGCTTCACTGAGATGGACGGAAATTCCTTGCTATCTGTTGGTCTTGTATGATGAAGATTCCCTTTAGACACCATACCTGCAACACCACCTCCACAAAGCTTAACACCAGATACTCAACTCAGGACAATGAGTGCTCACAAGTTATATGAGAACTGCCTATACTGTGGGCCAACTTGCTCGGCAAAAACTGTGGGAAAAAATATTCCCTTCAACATAATCCTCAACATAATAAAGCTCTGGATTTGCCAAAGCTACACAGCTAGTGTCCAGGATAAAAGACTAAACTGTACAGAAGGAATCCAGTCCAACATAAAAAAGGGGGACTGATCTAGACCCAAAAGCTTTAAGTCAGTGAGTGATCTAAAAGGAGTGTACATTCTTTGCTACTGTCCTGAAGTTATTTTTGATTACTTAAAAATGAATAAAGTTCTCCTCCTGGAGCCTATTTCAAAACTGATTTATCATTTATAGTATAGGAACTATAGTTGTTTATAGTTCTGCTATAATTAGATAACCACCAAGTATCCCATTTGGATTCATCTTAAACTGGACAGAGACACATACAAGAAGAGCCAGCACATCCATCCACTTGGCAGCTCCTCTGCGGTTTTTGTCCAGAAGAATACAAGTTGCTTGTAGTCCAGTTTGTTGTGCAGCCTTACTTGCACACATTGGCTGCAAGGGCATAAACTGGGCCTATGCCAATATGACCATTTAAAAGAATCATGAGCACATTACTCTGACACAATGTGAAAATATAATCTTCAAACTTTGTTGAGCAGTTACTGAAGTATCGATCCATTAAAAGAGACGAGTAGACCCTTGTCATATTTTCTGAGACAAAGTTCAGGTGTTCAGTACAATTTAATGTATCAGAGATGTAAAAGACCCTTGAGATATAGGGACAGAATTTGTAGCAGTTAAGGCCAATATTATATTACCTGAATTTGAGCTCTGTTTCCAGCAGTAATATTAGAAACTGTCCAGCATGCTTCCTTCCGAATAGATTCCTTGGGACTACTCAGCAAATGTAAGAGACAGGGTAATGCAGAGCAATTTAGAATTACCTAAAATAATTTGAAAGATGAAAAGTTCTGCCTAAACAGTGTAAAATAAAAATACAGACCATATAGCTGAAATAAACACACCATTCACACATATAGTTACTATGTTAGTGCTATATGTAGATGTTATATTATCTTCAATGTCTGTGCAAGAATATGGCAATTTTATGGCTTTGAAAGAAGTTCTGGATGGGACTGCAGTAGAAGATGGATATAAAGATAAAGGGACCCACCCACCCCCTTTTCACCTAACTTGTAGAATACAGCATCGGAAATTATACAGTAGGCCCTATGAAAAAGGCATACTAAAAGGAGCCCCTCAAGAACCCAAAATACACTTAGCGGTATGAACAATTCTGAAATAGCAGAAAGTGAAATACTTAGTTGACGTTGGAAAAAGTTTACAGATTGTTGTTGTTGTTAGTCGCGAAGTCATGTCCAACCCATCGCGACCCCACGGACAACATTCCTCCAGGGCTTCCTGTCCTCCACCATCCCCCAGAGTTCACTTAAAAGCTCACACCAACTGCTTCAGTGACTCCATCCGGCCACCTCATCCTCTGCTGTCCCCTTCTTCTTTTGCCACCTATTGTTCGCAGCATTAGGCTCTTCTCCCAGGAGTCCTTCCTTCTCATTAGGTGGCCAAAGTATTTGAGTTTCATCTTCACTATCTGGCCTTCTGAAGAGCAGTCAGGGTTGATCTCCTCTAGGACTAACCAGTTTGATCACCTTGCTGTCCAAGGGACTCGCAGGAGTCTCTTCCAGCACCACAATTCAAAGGCCTCAATCCTTTGGTGCTCAGCCTTCCTTATGGTCCAGCTTTCATAGCCATACATTGCATACATTACAGATTGTACAACTTGCTAAAAAATATAAAATGAAGTTTTAGTTCTAAAATGCTGCCCAAAATTTAGGCAGTAGGAGAGTGGGAAACCCAAGGATATGAATTCACATATGCACCTTTTAATGTTTAAAAATCTCCAGCAAGTTAAGTCTTTAGATTTTGTGTAGGCAGCAGGCCAATAAACTGCCATGGCCTATTTTAAGGACCACCAAACACTCAATGTTGAAGGTCTGACCTGAGCCACAGCTGACTTTGGCATATCATTGTATAATTCACATGCAGTCACTTAATTTCAAACTCAGCAAAGGAAAATACAACTTTACTGCAATTATTATTGCTGGAAAGAATATGCACTTTTGACATTTTCAGAACTCCTGCTACAAGGCTTGCAAATTTCTTCTCGAGCCTATAGAAGCTTGGATGTAAGCTTCTGTACTTGATTCCAAGTATACAAATACTGGAATCAGTTTAATCATAACGTCATCTATAATGAATGCCTTTAAATTGCAATATAATGGTAATAGATACCTGATGTAATCTCTAAAGAAATGAGGAAAATGAAACCACTAGGTACAGTCACTGTAGTTTTGCAAGTGATCAAACTCTACTGACCTGTGTTTGAATATCATCACCAGTCACAATATTTCCAACTGCTCTCAATGCAGGAGACACCACCTTGTAATCATTGTGCCTGGAGAAATTAGAAGCACAGTGCTATTAGAGGTTACAACTGTGTGGTAACAGTGGGAAAAAAAGCACAGTTCTTGGTGCAATAAACACCTTTCCATAATCACACAAGGTTGTTTGTGAAAACTACCACCAAGCCATTACGTAGCATATCTGCAATATTAAAAGCACCTCAGAACAGTCCTGAAACATAAGTCATCCTAACTCATACTGATTAGGATGGCTGAAACAAGCAAATAGTGGCTTGTCTGGACTGACTTCATGTCAAGTATGCAAATTCTCTGAAAGGGAATATTACTTCCAAAGTTCCTCACACCATCTGAACAAATAGCATATGCATGACAGTTCCATTAGCTAAGGGGGGTCCTGTCTGCTGCCTGAAATGTAGGCTTTTCCAGATTTGTTACAAACGGCTCTTTCTAGCCCACTACCCAATGCTATGTTTTCACAACATTTCTTAGCCTATAGGTGAGATGCAGGAATCTGGTTGGTATCCAGCTTTCTTGAGCTTGCTTGATTTCTTTCCCATTCTTGGCTCTGGCCAGGAAGTAAGCCAAGCTGAAATCAGGTCCATGAATGTTTGGGAATGCTAGCAGACCCCTTCTCTGCACCAAGTATGCAATTCTTTGTGCAAAGGATGAGTCAGGCCCTTCCAACTAGCAATTACAATCTTTAGAATGATTGGCACTTATAATAATTTAAGGAAATTCAGTTAGCATGTGTTTTTACTATATAGAGCAAGTTAAATTATTCTCAATGTTATCTTCAGAGCATAAAATATATTAATCTGTCTGGTCATATCACATAATTAATGTCTCATGAGGCACAGACAAGAACAGAATATTGAATCTCAGGGCTAAAATTACAATTGCCTGCCTCCTGCCTTATCATCATTATACAGAGTAACAGCAAGCAGCTAACTGGGGCTGAGGATCAAAAGTGGGGGGAACTGGAAGAAAGGCAGTACGGAGGAGAACTGACATTGTATTTGGGATACTTTCTGCCTGGAATGCTGAAGAGGAGCTTTCCACATCATAGCATTTTCATGTAAATCCAGCTTACTTATAATATACAATCCAATGTAATTCAACAGATGAAATAAACTAAACTGGCTATATGCCTGTCATATATTTATAAGCTGGCTCCTTAGCCTCTGGTGGAGCTGCTGCTGAGTCATAAACTGGAAAGGCACAGAGCACAGGAGAGAATAATGACAGAAAAAGTACTTGCTGCACTATCAGTGCAGATAAATTGGGCTGCAGGAAGGAAACTCTTGTTGGGCCTCCAGACACCAGAGGATGTCTGCTGTGCTGGAATGAGGTGGAGAGACTGACAGTGACTCAGTTTAGATGTGATGGTGCTAGAGCACAGGTTAATTAACACATGATCTGCTGTGGTGCATGCCAACTCTATTCCACAGACAGTTGGAATATTTAATCCCACAACTGGGCTGACCAAGGGCTGTTATGTGATGTTCAAACTATAGGTTAATTGGGGCTTAAACAACTCACAGTTAGCCTACAATTAATAGTTAGATTAATTCAGGGCTATTTAATACACAATTAACCTACAGTGTCTGGGTTAAGTGGAACCCAGACATATAGCGTCTGACATTAAGTGGAAACTGGCTAGAGAGCTGAGTAATCAAAAAGGCTGTGGAATGTATTCATGCAGTGAGGCAACTTGGCAACAAATTGTGAATTAATTAATTGATCTTATGTGTGAATAGACCTGCAGGTTTTATCACTTTTACAGCTGTTTCCCAGTACAATTATTAGTTTAAAAGGGACTTACATAAGAAGTTCAACTAATCTTCGGCAGACTCCAGAATCTATAACCGCTTGGATTTTATCATTTGGCCCATCTGAAAGGTAAGAGAGGGCCCAGCAAGCATCTGCTAATACATCTGGATCGCTGCTAAACAACAATCTTGACAGAACACCTAAGCAAGGACGAACCTTAAAAATTAAAAAAATAAAGAATTATGATTATGCATTTCCTCTTAGAAATGTAGTATCTATTACAAACATATTTCTAAAGAGCTGAAACCATTCAGTGTTAAATTATATTAATGCCATCATTTTTTTTAATAAAAAACCAATCTTGTACATGTGTTAGGTTATAATAATAAAGCCTCTTAAGTCCGCCTTCTTGTGCTGCAGGATGATAACCTACCTAAATTCACAATGCACTTATTCCACAGGTTCTGCACTAACTTCAGCTGCATCCATGAGTAAACATACTGTGGATTAAATGTCAAGCAGAAATCAAATGGAACTTGAACAGAAAATCAGATGGATTCTGTAGGTTTCTAACGTTGAACAAAGCCTGAGCCATTACTCGAAAGTCTGAACCATGGGTCCTCAAACTACGGCCCGCAGGATGGATCCAGCCTGCCATGGCTATTCATCCAGTGCGTGGGCGGGGAGGCAGTGGTTTGCTCACTCGGAGATGGTTTCTGAGCGAGCAAGCCACCGCCACTATCTGCCTCCCGTACATGCGCGCGCTCGCCGCTGTCTTGCAGCGTGGACGGAGAGGTGGTGGCTCGCTCGCTCAGATGGTTTTGGACTCGCTGGAAGTTCTCTGAGTGAGCCACTGCCGCATGTGCCCCTGACACCACCTCACCAGTCCGTGCCCCCAGGCACCCCCACCTCACCGGCCCGTGACAGTCACTGCAGCCTTTCAACTGGCCCCCTATTGAAAAAGTTTGAGGACCACTGGTCTGAATGAATCTGAAACACCTTCAGCTTAAAAAAAAAACTGTATCAGGTTACTGGTTCAAACAGTTCAACCAAACACACCTGAATTGGTACACCCACTGGCTCTGTCAAAGCCAGAATGAGTGCATAAAGAAGCCTAATGTCTTGCAAAATGTATATATTATACACTGATCCTAATTTTTATAGCTGAACAATTTATTGCATTTCTATTATCTATACATATTCTATTATTATAGAAATGTGATACACAACAACACCCTCTTCAGGAAGGCCGAACCTGGTAAGTATTAAGCAGGCATTAGAATGGAACCCTTCTTCCTCTTTACAGTAAAGCCTACTGAAACAGAGGATACAGATAAACTACCTGTTGAAAGAAGGAAAGGGAAGAGAATTCCATTGCTGCACCTCTTCTAAGATTGCAGCATTAGTCACAATCTATGGATGCTGAAGACTACGTTGATGGTGGCTTCAACTAAAACCTTTTCCCTACATCATTTTAATTCAACAACATATCAGTAGTGACAAGAACTGTATAGCTTCATGAAGCAGGGGGCAGAAGCCTGCAAGCCTACTGTTCAGGCCCCAAGAATCAGAGAGGCAGGTGAACAGGCTCTTCAAAGGAGCCTTCAAACAAGAGAACTCTGACTAGAGATGAATGTAACTGCTGGGACCCCAAAAAGGCTGCATTTGTAGGAAAATGCATGCTCTGTCAAACCCATGTACATTTTTCACCGTTATAGCATCTTTGTCTAAGAAAATGGGGAACATACCTTACTAAAATCTGGAGGTGGATTCTTGCCTCTACAGAGGTTTGAAAGTGCCCAGACAGCATTTCTAGTTGTTGTAAGTCTGTTAGAATGCATCAGGAGTCTGCCAGGAAAGATAAACCTTTATTTGAAATAGAATATTCCCAATTTATGTAAAACTGACCAAAGTTTACTAGCTTTCCAAAGGTGAAATCAACATTAATTCTAACAGAGCTATTTCTATCTCCCTTGAAACAGTGCTTGTGTCATTTGTGTCACTATGTCAGCATTTAAGCTTCATAACTCAACACAATACTATATATGTCTGCTCAAAAGTTACACTGAATTCAAATAGGCTTAATCCAAGAAGACTTTAGGCTATAACCTTAAGGATAGTAGACTATAACCTTAGGGATTAACTGCTATCAGGCTACTATTTAAA